GGTTATTTTGTGATACATAAGTGTAGAGGATTAGTAAAGGATAGAGTATAGCAAAATATACCTGATAAATTAAGTTTTTAATAGGTGCGGCGTATATACCGGGTTTACCCTAATTTAGATACCCGAAATAACATGTTCATGTTTGCCGGTATCCTGATACGTACACGACGAAAAAGGGAGATGTCCGACGGCGGGAGGCACGCGAGGAAAACGGATAAATCGGGGAGAGAGAGCAAATACTTATGAGTTATGAGTGTCTCGGAAGTTTGCAGGCAGTCGTCGCGATTCGGAAACGGGCGTTTCAATCTCGGAGTTTAAGAGGCTGTGGAAAAGAAAGTAGTACCGCGGGGTCCAGGCCGAGTGGAGGAAGGAATTGAGAGGTGATCGAGGCTACGTGGGGAAAATCTCAGGGAAAATACATGAGCGAGGGGGAGGGGACTGGGGAGAATCTCCCCGTTTGCCGAACTATCGTGAAATTATTAAGAGCATTCCTCTGTTTACGACGCCCTATCCCTTTCGACAACCGTTTTCGGTGCTACCCCGAAATGGACGACTCGTTGCGACTCTCTCACGATTTGCTGAGCGATTTCCATGGTTTTTCAGATCCTTCCAGCGTGCACTTCGATCGGCAAATATCCTCGTAGATGTAAGTTTGCTAAATTCAAATTTAATATAATTTAATTGAGTTCCGTACTATTCAGTTCAATAAGGTAAAATTGGTCGACTAAAATTTAGAGTAACAGTGATTTGGAATTTCCGAGTTTTCATTTCAAACGTCATTAAGAGTCATTATAAAAATTATGTCACATGCAAAATTGTTTTTCTGAATAAATAAAACTACAACAATAAAATTAAAATTTATTTGGAAAAATTTTAAGGATAAATTGAATATGCGTGTAATATAGGCAATGGTAAATTTCAACATAAAAATTCATCATTGTGTCAGTTTTCACCTAAGTGACACTAATTAAATAATATTTTTAACTAAAAACATTTTACGCTTATATCACCCTTTTATTAAATTTTTTAAAAACACTTTTATTTATATTCTTTTAAAATAATTTTATTAATATTTTTTTAATAGGAATTTTCAAAATGTTTAAATATTTAATTAAAGTTTAGTCCTAATAGAATTTTTCTCATCTTTGAAAGGAGAATTCAAAGAGAAAGATTCTTAAAGTAGAACGGTATTTTTACATAGATATACGAATTTAAATCGTTTTGCATAGCCCGCGATATTGTGGAATAAATGTGCGATTAACTTGCCGCGTAAATTATTCTAATAACAGCAAGCTAACTGAATTCGGCAGACGAGCATTAAAGATTTCCTCTTGCGTGCTCGAATTCCAGCGGTCGGCAATTAATTCGACGCCTAACTTTCGTAACTGCGATGAAATATGCAAACTAAACGAGTACGTAACGCGTTGCTAAGTTGCAGTGAAGATATCACGCTGATGATACCAAGATAGAGAGAAAGAGAGAGTGCGCGAGATAAAAGCTGCAAGATCTAGGAAAGCTCTCGAGATACTGATATCCGTCGGCGCCACGAAGTCGTATCTATCCCCCGCCCCCTCTTTGCTCCGCTCGCCCCTCACTCTTTTACTCGCTTTCCTCACGTTACTTTCTTTTTCCCTATTTGTTTTCTTTCCCTCCTTCTCTTTCACGACGTGTATATGCTTCCACTCTCTCGGATCTTTTATTGCGTTACCACTGTAGTCTGATTTCCTACAGCATGTACAATCATTCGGGGGTAGCCGACCTCACTTTTCACCGGAGATATAGCAAACGCCGGTATGTGTAGCGGTTCAATCAGAAATAGAAAGGCGGATGTTTAAAAAGAGATAGACATTTAAATTGCATCAGGAATAAAGTGCGCGTAAATACATTGGACTGTCCACTTAATCAATATAAAAATTTAATTAATACTTTTTGCACTTTTTACAACGTGCTTGTTGTAAAATCAATAATTATTTAATAGAAAATTGATAGGTATAATGAGCTTTGCAACATTCAATCTACATTTTGTAATAATTTACGCTTTCTTGAGCTCAAAATGCAAGAATCGACGCTAATGTTGTTAATCCACTATGTTACATCCTATAAGTGTTAAAACAGAGAATCGATGCTTAAGAAAAGTTTAGAGCTTTAATCTCGCAATTAATCAAAGGATGTGGGGTAGCGCGTTCATTCAAGCCGCAAATGAAGTTGGCTAATACAATTTACGTAGTTTTATCGAGGGTTTTCCCCTCGCGGGATTTTCTCATTATACCGCCGATGGTAAAATGAGATGTAGCTGAAATCTTTCGCGCGCGGTAAAATAATCGGGAGAATGACGAAATTATGGACTAGCGAGATGTTCACAAGTGGGAGGGACAAAAAATGCTCGAGACTCTCAAGATTTACGATGGAGGAAAGAGGCAAGAGGAACGAAAGAACGGTCGGGAGTTCCCTTTGTTGTGGAAGTTACTCGGCTCCATTTATTCACTCACTTCTTTCGTCACTCGCCGTTGACAGGGAAAGGAAGGAGGAAGCCCGCGAGAAAAGCCGGATTTTCCGAGGCATCCACCTCGCGTGACAAACGCGATATCCCGGAACGTCCTTGATACGATATTGTTGCGGAAATGCTTCAGAGATTTGATGAATATGGGATGTGGAACGGATGAAGTCAAGCATGCGTGGACGTGTAGTATCCTGCTATCGTACAGAATACCAGGAGACGCAAAAGATAAATTATGTCACGCGTTTGCATTTCCGCTTCCGCGATTATGAAATACTTTCATCCTTTTATATTTCACCATATTTTTTATTCACCGATGGCTTGAAAGGAATGAAAGCAACAGCGAGCCGTCTATATAGTAATGTTATAATATAGCCAGTTAATTATGAAAAGATGTCTTAGGTATGAGCCTCATCCGCGGAGACGTCGTTTTAATAAGCCGATTATTAAATAATAGCGGTTTCGAAGTACCGCCAGAAATGTAAGTCGCGTTATAAAGAGCTTCTTTTCATGTTACGATCACATCACGGATGAGACTCGCATCGCAGATGAATGGTGTGCATGCACGAACGGCTTCGAGTCTCCCATCCGACTCGACGGCGTTTCCTTTTAAAAGGGAGGCTAGACTTGTACCCGGAAGATTTACCGAAAGAATGAATACGGACGATTAACCAGTGAATTTCCTGCATTTCCGCACGGCCCTTTTTCATTCCTATTTCGCGCCGGCGGCGGTGGCCCGATCGATTTCGCGACGGAGTGCGCGACTCGCAATGTTCCTTCGACTCGCCACTTCATTGTATAAAATAGGTCCGCGAGTAAGGAATCTCCGTATCGCAAGCTCCACGGAATTATGTCAATGATCACAGTTAAATAGAGAATACATCAAACACGACTCATCAATATTTTATTCAAATTTGCAAAGTTTCTTTATGATGTTGAAACAATTGAAACAATTGAACTAATGAATTAATTCATTAGTTGTTTTAAAATAATTTTCCAATATTTCTCTAATTGTCTCAATTATATGCGTTATTAGATATAACTTTACATTTCCCACGTAAAATTGTAGAATAAAAAGTTTGCTATAATTTCTCACGCAAAAGCCGAAGTTAAACAAGAAAATAGCTTAAAATTAATTGTGCTATTAATTGTTCTATTTTATAACAATTTTGAGAAACTGTCGAAATGAAATGAAAACATACGGCACGACGGACCAATCGGAAACTCTATTTTAATTAAATTAGAGTAACAAACGCTGAAACATTTAAACAACAAGCTTTTAAGTGTACAAACAATCTATTCTGTAAACAATATTCAATATGCATTTGCGTTATCATCGAAAAATTGCGGGCTATTTAATTTGCGCGACGTTAATTAATCAGCGAAACCGATTTATTCAAGCATCATTTAGACGTTGGCGGTGTCCTTTGTCAATTAGATGCGCTGAAGAGTAAAGGACGTCCGCCAGAACGATTTATCGTGATAAACCTTTCAACAAGATTCCCTACCCTTATTTATCCATCAAATTAACGGACGTTGATTAGGCGGGGCAGCAAAGCACGATCCATGGAAACTTCCCGATGACAATTAATTATCATCTCCGCCATTTATTACTTAAGAGTTCTATGGAAAAGTAGGATATTGTCCCGCATTCATTTACGAAATACTTTGTCATAGCGTCCCAAAACTTAGTAAATCATCTTTCGCGCGTGACTCCATGAAAAGGGTCGGCTCTTCCTAATCGAATACATGAAGAAGAAGCATCATTTGTTGCAGATTTAGAATAATTGACATTAAAATTTTTTTTATAATTAATATCCATATATATAAGATCCTATATAAAACTTAGTTAAAGTTTACTTAAAATTAAATAAAAATTAAATTTTAGATTCTAGAATGACATTTACTTTTCTTATCTCAGACACGCGAAAATACGTACATCATGTCAGCTAGTGAGAAAACTTCGTCCACGACATCACATGTATCTTCCTACATATCTCTAATTATTTTTGTAGTCAGGAATCTCATTTGTTGAGATAATATTATTGTAAGAAACGAATGGATTCTCTCAATTGCAACGATAAGAGACAGAGAGAAAGAGAGAGAGAGAGAGAGAGAGTCGTTTGAATTAGAATTAAAATGGAAGGGGTACATTATCTCACCTTCGTCATTACTTTGCGAGGTACATCCGTATGATCTCTTTATCTCTGTATCCGTTTTCGCTGTCTAAATGTCCTACGTATTATAAGACGGCGCGCGCGGGCGCCTCGGGGGTATTCACGGCGAGAAATCCAATTTCAATGAAAAGGCGGAACAAGAGGTTACGACGCGAGACAAATATCGCGTTTCAGGGCGATACACCGCCGCGCGGTTATGTACGTGTTGTCTACGTAAATTCCTCAGGCCTGTCGGCTTACTCGAGAGAGAATTTAACCGTTTTATCGCGAAAACAGGAGGAGTATGGCGAAACCATTACCAGAACTTCGTTTGTCTTCCTGCAGTCAGATATTAACATTTTTTTAATCGGATTACCGCGAAAGTCAATCTTTTTGAAAAAATTTTAAAAATTGACGAGAACTCATGATAAAATTAAAGTTGTAAAATTAACAAGCAAAATGTGTAATTAGTACAATAAATATTTGATTTAGTTATTGAAAGCAATATCTTTTTTTTTTTACTATCGAACAATCGTCACTAATTATGATCTTCCCACCACGGTATTCTTTAATCACATGCACGTGTACTATCCGTAGAATCATACCAATCATTTGCACCGGTCATCCATATTTAACAGCAAATTCAACTGCTCGGTGGCGACCGCTTATACCAGACGCATTAATTAACAGCAACTGTACTAAATACACGAAATTCATTACTGCTCACAATCCGTGGGGATTTCAGGCCAGGAATCTAACAATTATTTCACAGCAATATGTCATTGTTTAGGAAATGATACCAATAGGTACAATTTGTCAATTTTATTCTTTAATAATTCTTTCATAATATCAGATATTTTCTTATTCCCTGCTTTTATTAGCAATATTTTAAACGGAATTCAATTATTAATCACTATTTTCACTAAAATTGATTAAACATTCACGAAAGTTGATTAAACGTTCTGCAATGTTGTTTCAATGTAATGTAGAGATATAATTTCAAATAATTATAATTATTAATTATTAAACGCATAATTAAGGTACAGGTTTTCGGAAAACTCAATCACACAAGTTATATCGGATTGTTAACGTTTCAATAATTTAGGTATCAAATTTCCTATTTCTCCACTATTAAAATGATACAAATGCCACAGTATGCATTCACGTAATAAATAACAGCAAGCAAATAGAAATTACAGACGATATAACCGTTTTGGTTTACGTATTCTTAAAAAATTTAATCTTTTACTGTTTTGTATAAATAGCTAAATTCTAACGTTGTATAATAATGTACGTACCGAGAATCTTGAATCGTATATCTCTAATAAGAAATATCGGACGAAGATATTATAAACCAAATATTAGTAGCTCAAGAGGCTCAACGAGTAACTCAATGGACTCTCATTAGTAACACGATAACGGATGTTCGAGCATTATGAGTCTGTAATCTGATGTGCTAAGTAGCTGACGTATCTCTATTATAACGCTACGGTTACAAGAAAGCCTCCAGTAGTGCCACTTACTGCATCCGGTATTACGTTACGTGATTGAATTTCGCAAATTATCTATAAACGCGATAACATAATTCGATAAGCCGAAAAAGAAATCATGCATTTTACTCTTTAATTTTATTCGAAATAAACGTGGATTTTTTAATTGTTCAAAATATTTAATTTCACAGAAATAAAATACAATATATATCAAGTTTGATGAATTTAATTTGATGAATTTAAATTAATAATGCATAATAATATTGTGTATGCACATTTGTATATGCGTCTGTTATAATTATAAGTATCATATAAAAAGAATTATTAACGATGCTGTAATAGAATTGTATAATTGTATTTTCCTTTCTTATCTAATATAAATCTTTTCTTACAAAATGTGTCATTTATGAATGTGTCGGAAATATAACTCCCTCATAAGTATACGACTTCTTTCTTCGCGACAGATAATACTTATAAAAATGTCTTTTTGGTTGAGATACGAGGAGGCGAGGGAGGAAAGAGAAGAAAGAAGAAGGAGCGCAAACAAAGTAGATGAAATCACTGGGAGCTGAGAGGGTATCAAGATCCACACGTGCCTTGAGTGCAATAATTATTGCTGGAGACATTGCCGACAAACGTAGCCCAGGGGCAACTTCTAGAAAAGTTTGATTTGAGAAGCGGCTCTTAGGTCACGCCAAAGTTTTCGGGGGAGCAACTTGCAAGGGGAAAAGGACAAGCTTTGGAAAGTGTCAGGAAAAGATATCAACCCGCGCGTCTAGACCCGACCCGTACTTGACAAACTTTTCCTCGCTTGATATAAACTGATTCAATCGTAAAAAGAAGTAAGAAATGATATTACAGTTTTGATATAACGTCGGATCGATGCAAACGGCGAACGAATAATTCTTGATCGCAATTCGAGATGCAATCGAAACGCGTGAACAAAATGTTTTTGGCTTTTTTCCCTCGTAATTACCAAAGGAAACCACGTATCTGTATATTCAGGATAATTTAAAATTAAAATTTAGCTTCATTTTTGCAGTGAAATTTAAATTCAGGTTTAGCGGCGTATATTTTCCAGTACACACGGCTGACATTAATCACTTAGTGCATTTGTGATGTTGCAGTGAAAAAATATTGCAGCATTTTATTTTATTATATCCAGATAAAATCAACGCGCGTGTAAAGCTGCACAAACATGTTTACGTTAGAAGAGACATCGTTCATTTTTTAAGCTTTTAATTTCTTCAAAAGTAGATATCATAAAAAAAAAACATCAATTTCGGTGAAGAGCGTGTTTTATTATTCGCAAAAGAGTGCACGTTTATTACTAAAATTATTCCGCGACATAGTGAAATGCGAACTCACCGATTTTGACGACCGAAGGCAGCGCGTCGAGCACCGATGGCAGCTGAAGCAGCTGAAGAACAAAGATAGAGGCTACCAGGCAGCCCAGACTCATAGCTCATCTCGGAAGCCCTCCGCCACGGCCTCTCGGTGGCTCCTCACACAATCGCTGCCGCACAAATTATGTGGTGAATAGGGCCTGACGTTACTACGAACACATTTACCTAAAACATAAAAATATGAATAATTAACCAAAATCGAACCACTGCAATCGAAATTAATACTATGACTAAAATTACTAATAGTTTTAATTTGAATTTTTTAATCTCCCTTTTAATCTTTTATCATTCTATTATATTATACATTACAATCTTCGCAATTTTGAGATTAAATTTGAATTCCATATGCAAATACAGGAAACTTTGTGCCGCTTGTGGTATACGCTTTGTATGTACGCTAGTCGGTTTCTATTTGAAGAAAATGAACTTTTTGCAGGTACGTTAATTAAAAGTTCGCAAACAGCCTGGAGATAGAATATATCCGCTACGTTGCCTTTCACACGCGTAAAATTCATAAGGCCCGGTTTCTACCGGGACGCTGAATGCATTTTTCGATGAACAGGAGGAAACAGAGTTTTCCATGTACTTCCGTGCGAGCAGGCAAAAATTTATCGTTTTGCCTAAACGCTTGAAATTTGATTCAACGAGTCCGCGTTATTGCTTGCCTCTCAGACGTTTTTACGCGATAGTTCAATCATCAGATGTACGATTTCCCGAGAAATTTGCACACCACGTGTACACTACGCAAGTATCGCTCGTGCGGAATTCCCGTGGCGACACGGAAAACTTACCGTCACTCTACTACTATTTTACGTCCCCAAATTTCGGTGGCGCTCGGCCAAAGAGTTGGAGGGCAGATGTCTACTCGTGTAACTTGACGTTTCTAACAAACGTCACACGTGCGACCCAACATTTCGGGCGGGGAAATGTACCGGCAGCGTTTGCATTATTTCAAGGGATTTATATAATAAATCAGATTAAGCTACGATAATTTTCACTAATTAATGTTTATATGAGTGTTTTATATCACATACAAAATTTCAAGCTAATATAATACGATAAATATTTATCATCGCAAAATCAAATATATTTAATCGATTCGATTTTCAAAATATTAAACTACCTCCGCTTTATGTACGCAACAATATGAGTTTATAATTATTTAAGTAGAAAATAATCTGCAATAATGGTTGTGTATTTAATACAATTTTACGTGAAAGCGTATTAGAGCATGTGAATATACAACGTAGGACCGCAACATGAAATACGAGTATCATTTATAAAATTTTATAAAATAAAGATGTACAAGTTTATAAAAATACTTTGTTATACATTTGTTTCATTTTGAATAACATATCTTTCAATACTTTCACGTTAATTAAATCGACGTATGCTATTGTAAAAGGGTGAATTTATCGCAGGCCTTACATCGATTACATCGCTTGCAATAAAAAAACGTTGAATATATTTATTTTTTATATTACAGCGCCAGTCAATTAATCAATCTCGTTTAAAACTCGTTTAGATCAAATTTTTCAATTTGCATCATCGAAATTAATTGTCTCTTTTCACATGTACGTAAGTATACGCTCCACGAGACGAAAATCAAATGATTTACTCAGCAAACTTTGCATTCTGTTCTTACTCGACGCGTTTCTTGCTCGCCGATGCTGTCTTGTAAATCGATAAAATTACGAAATAACCGCGACATTTTGTCGCCGGTGGTGCGCTCGCTGGCAGAGACCGCCGGTATTATTTGATTTTAATTCAATGTCATGATTTCTTTGCAAAACGAGGAACAGTTTGCGAAACTTCTCGCGCGCACGGCTTCATCCGTAGACGTCTCCGTTGTCGTCACGGTGGCTTAAGAAGAAACAATGGCACGATTTTCAATTCGCGATGTCGTGCATTCGTCCGCGAGAAATTCCGCAGACTGTCCGGCGACTTTCTCGCAGATTCCTCGCGGATATTCTCATACAGTAATTCTTTCATTCGGCTCTATTATGAGAGAATGGACGTGTTTCTTACTTCCATTTTCCGGTGCGGAATTACGATCTGAGTAATATAATAATTGCGACTCTCTTATTCGAGGTCAGCTTCGCAGGATAAAAAACATATCCTAAGGCTAATGATAATCTCCTTGGAAATAAAACTGTATGCTGCGAGAGATAATTTTTTCAGTTGACGCAGTGCAATTGCAGATACGATTTTTAAAATGTATATAATTAACTTGAGATTATTAAGCCATTTTTCTAAAATTTTTATTCATTTCATGAGATATTTCTGTCTCATTGACATTTCTCGCTGTTAAGATGCTCAGAGTTTATACAAGTCGAAGAAGATAGAGAAAGAATTTCTTTTACGTTACTTATACGCGAATAAGAAACATAACGAATTCAAAGTAAGAGATTAACGTTATCGTGATTTAGAGGGATCGTGCTGAGGAAATTAATTCACCTTCCTCACTAGGAATCGCGACATACTATTTGTAATCTCGCAATTAGCACGTCGGAGGAGGTAAAAGACCGCGAACACATCTGGAGCGAAAATATATATCTAATCCTCTCCGTCGGTCCCGTTGCCGTCGTAGGAGACGCCTTTGAGGGGAGAATGAGAGGGCTGTTAAGGCCAAAATCTCCCAGGAATTTAGAAAGATTCGTTCTACGTCGCATCCAGGTTGCCTTAATCGAGCCGCTTTATTCGACGATAATTCGTCGCGGCCATAGAAACGCCTTAATGGCACAGAATAAAAAGCGGCATGCGAGAGCGCGCGCAAGAAGGATGAAAATGAAGGCGATGAGAGGAGCGAAGAGTCAGCAAAGGGTGGAACAACGCAGAAAAGGGGAGGGGGAGGGGGAAAGCAGTGCTTTAAATATATATTTCCTTCTACTCCCCTTTCTCTTCCCACCCGTCTCTGGCCGCCCGCCACCTTTGGTGATTTACGGTCGTCCTAAAACATCTTCGCGATATCGTGTCGTGCCGACTCCCCGGGAGGAAAATAGAGGGGAAGCGACTCGTGTGCTGGTGAATTTCCCGGAATTCTCGTTAACACGGTCATTTCCCGCACCTCCGATATGTGGATTATACGAGAGAACGGAGAAACCGCTTACTAAAGGGCGCGCCGTGTCTTTCTTTTCTTTTTTCTTCTCCTTAATCATCTCCCCGTGGGCATCTTACGACGAATTTAGATCAATCGATTTTCAATCTCACCGAACAGTAGGCGAGCAATCGTTTGTCGGATCGATCTCTATTTGAAATATTTCGCATACTTACTTTGTCAGCAGAGTGCGGTTTCGCGCACATGCGGGCGAGTTTTACAAGAGATTTGTGATAGGTGGGTTCACTGCAATGTGTAAGAAATCGTTCTGTTCAAATAATTTTTTCTCAAAATATTTGATTAAAAAAAAAAAAAAGAAAATATTATCTACACATTGATCAAGGACGCAGTGTGTGGGAAAGGAAATCCGACGTTTGAAAAATTTAGCAAATTCGAATCATGTGATTCCTCGGATTTTAAAGGAACGCGATCTCGCCCGTGATACGCCAGAAAACTCGATTAAAGTACACCCTGTTTGTTCCTCTTTCCCATTTCTTCGGTTTCTCTGTACTCATCGCACCCCTTCCTTCGATTTCTCGGCGCTTAATGTTCCGGATATCGATATCGTAACTTCGTATGATCATTTCGCGGCGCGATACAATAAAATTTAATCATCCGTACTACTATCAACGAGTGGGCGAAGCTGGTGCGAAAGCACCCTCCACTTTAATCCACTCGTTTGTACGAATGTCGTAAAAAATAAACTGCCGCTTACTTATCGGAATGGAGTTGAGAACAATCGATATTTATTACGTGTAAAAATGTTAACGATCCTTTTAAAAGTAAAGTTCAGCTTTCATTAGAATCCTTAATTGGCGTTTGAAAAATATAAATTGTTACAAAATAAAATTCCTCTTTAGCTTTAAAATAAATAGATAAAATCAATAAAAGTCCTTTGCAAACGGATGTAGCTGAGTAGTGCGGCGAAAAACGAGGAGCTAAGGTCCTTAAGTATCTATTGGCCGTATTGGCGAAAACAGAGTTTGAAAGAGTTAAGCCGTTTCTGAGAAATCTTGCAAGTGGACAATCGGACAGACAAACAAACGAACGGGCGGAGAGACGGACGGACAATCGAATCGCCGGACAAACGGACGGCTAGATTAACACTGTGAAATTATAAAGTAGTTTATTACATTATTTAATAAAATAAATTAATAATTAATATTACAGATAAGTCACACGCCATTAAAATACTCTACATTGACTGTATAAATGATTTAACTATATATATATATTGCCTTGATCGTAATCGTAATTGATCTCAATTAACAAACAACATTGACTTGCACCATAATTATGCCATGGGCATAATACGCGATGTATGTAATATTCATAATGTTATTTCATTTCAATTTTACGACCTGTTACTATAACGAATTAGAAAATTATGGTATAATGTTGTCGCGATGTTTATTGCTGATTGTGTGCAATTATTGTTTGTACATTTTACTTTTCGATACCATTAAACAGCTCGCATCCAAAAAGGAGAAAATGATCAAGCTTTATGCAGTCAATCGCGGCGACAGAATCGATATATATTATGCATGAAATAATACAAGATCTCATTCATACTAAAATGTAAGAGAAATTATTAATAATGCAAAAGCTGCTTCACTCCTGCTCGCTCATTATTGATTTCTATAACGATGTAATAGAATTTTAATTGATTAAAGACTGCAGTGAATAACTAATTCAACGCGTGAAATTCAATAAGTAGAAAATCTAATTAAAGCAATCGGAAACTGCGGTATTTTAATCCGGTTAGGAATCGTACATCATATCTGTCATTCTGACTCAATTATACCTTCGTTGCTGCAATTTTCAATTTTCTCTTATGATTTACATATAGTAAAGTAATTAGATTGAATAAAGTATGTGATGTATTATGTTATTTTCTGTCGTAATTAATTGACAGAATTGAGCGATCTAGAAAATGCATATATGTATAGTTCAATATCACTGAAATCGTAAGAATCATTCATTTTTAACGTAGCTGCAGTATTTTGTTACCATATGTACCGTTATATGCATATAAATATATGTATATAATTTTCAACTAAATTTCTGATACGTCGCCACGTGTTTATCTGATTTTGGCTGCGTTCAGGGAGCGCGTTATCAGCGCTATTGTGTGTCATTTTGGGTGCGTTCGGGGAGACGCTATTAGCTCTATCTCTGTCATTCCATCTTTTTTGTTCGTTAAGCATAAAATAAGGATAGAACAACGCAAATAACACTAACAGCATCTCCCTGAATCTTTATCTGTATCAGTTATTATATCGCAATAAGGACAGAATGTGCAAAAACGCTGATAGCGCGCTCCCCAAGCGCAGCCATAATCAGTATCCAATTTAAATTAATATCGTTCATTGTGATGATCGCGGGTCTTTGTCGATATAATCATCGATTAATCGCTTCAATTTGCATAAAAAGGCAATAAATAAAAATAGCTTATGGTATGGTTTTATACATCAGCTGCAAGTTGCAAAAAAAAAGGAAATTATTGCTGGTTGGACAAGTCACGTCGCAGACAGTAAACTTTAAACTACCAGAACATAATTTGTGTCGGTTCGAAAGGCAGTTATCGATTTTGCCAACGAACCGAACAGGACCGCCGTCGTGACACGAAATTCGTTTACCAAATTGGAGTAAATGAGTTATGTACATTGTTTTCGGCAATCTCATCCCCGAGGACGTCGCAATAGCTTAGAAAAATGACAGAGAGTAGAGTTATTTTTACGATTTAAATAAATTTGACTAAATAAACTAGATTCTATACTGAAAGTCATCAATCCGAAATATATCTTATTTCTGACAATTAAAAATTTGTAAATATTTCAGAATTAGTAGAAAATAAATACAACCTTGTTCTTGTAAAATTAATTTCAAAAATATCCTAAATTAAAAAAATATGGTCAAAATTTTAATATCAGAGTATGTAATATAAATTCAATTAAAATTGACAAACAATTAAAAGGTTCTATTTAATTTCACAAAGATATAAATTTGTTTGTAAATCCACTTGATATCTACCTTCTCGCAATTAATTTGACGCCTTCAATGCCGCGCGCGTCGGGATCAATTTTTTACTTTGAGGTTAATTCAGTCGGATACAAACTAACAAGCTTCAAGTGAAGGATAAACTCACTGATTGCATTTACTCCGGATCGGAATCGCATTGAAAGTACAAATCAATTCTCATTTCTCTTTACTGTTCGTCTTTTAGAAAGTTTTCTATTCACATTCAAGCAGTCGAGTAATTGAAAAAAAAATGGCATTCGCTTACCGCGTTTCTCATCGCGGCTGTCGCACACGTCGGGCAATCTGCGGCGATGGGAAAACCTCACGGAACCCTCGGAATATCGCTGCGACGACGTCTCGAGGGGCACGGGGACATTCGAGAGAGGGGGTCGGCTCTTTAGGAATTTACCGGCGCGTAAAGACGTGCGTTGTCCTCGCGACGCGCGTAAACATAACCTCCGTATATGTTATACGGGCCGTTATCATCGCGGAAACGTAAACATACACATCCTACCGTGACAGAGGCCGGCGCGCGACTGCCGTTCGGCCGTTCGGTCGTCGACTCGCCGACGTCAGCCGAACGCGCCCGAGCTCCGATTCTCGCCGAGCGGCCACGTGCTCGCCGGCCAATCACGCTTGCGCCGGTCCACGTGCTCGTTCCGTCGGACCATGTGAGAACGATTAGCGCGCGCTTTGCCGCCCTTTCGGGAGCAACGGAGTTTTTTAAATGCCGCGCGTTGCTCCGTTTCGAAGTAAGGCGCTTTAAATGCAACGTCATTTCTCAGCAATGAGTCGACGCGATGCCGACGTTACTATACACTGTTAGATATGTTCATTACAATATTTAATTCGTATATTCTTTTCTATCTCTTGTTTCTATTTCTTTTAATAATTCGTGTCACTTGACACATTTAATTAAGGTCTGATATTACTCACATTGGTTCCGAATAAAGGGAACCATAATAGTATAGAGCAATAACCGTTCTTTCTTTTTTTAATGCGATTTCTTTTTTCTCGATGCAATTATTTCATTAAAATTTCAAAAATTTCCGAAGAGTTTATTGTCGAGGAAAACTGCATAATAATATGCAATATAATTAGATATTAATTTTCTATTTAAAAGATTAATAATCGACACAACGATTTTTAGGCAGCAATTTATACATTTCTCAATATAATGTTCAAATTTTATTGACTAAAGAGATTTTCATATTATAGTAAAATGCAGATAAGATAGTTTATTTTGACGTATTACTCCCATCCTTCGGAAAAAAGTTACATCGTAAGGTGGAGAAACGCAAAGTTGCATCGTAGGGTGGAGTGAAGGGGGGCTGGAGGCCGCCATATTAAGTTCTACCAGCTACTACCTGTTTTAGTAGCTCTTTCATGCTTCTCATGCACGGCTACACGCGCCGTAAACTTAAAAGACTTTTATAGCAATTTTGCTGGCGACGAACGGGGATCGTTGCGCTCCGCGCGCATCGCTTCATAAACTTCTTTTCATTATAAATTTCATGTTCCCAGACGTGCACTCTATTTCTTTCACATATAAATGGTGATTTTGGAAAGTTGAAACATTAGCGATAACAACTTTTATGAACGCAACGCAACGCAACGCTTAACGATACGGTACTTGTTCTTTACTGCAGGAAGATTAAGTACGAAAGCTGAAACTGCTCAAACTAAAACATAATAACGAATATAATATAGAGGCACAGCACGCGAGTACAATTATCTTAATTTATAATAATTTTCGCCATCGTATTATACTTAAAATATTAAACTATCGAAACAAAGTAAAAGTGTGAAAGCTTATTTTTTCACTTTTACTTTGTTTCAATAGCTAAATATTTTAAGTATAACGATGACGAAAATTATTATAAATTAAGATAACAGAATTTGCGTGTTTGTTGTATCTCTATTGTATTCATTTTTTATTTACAATTTACAATTAAGATATTATACTTTTAAAAAGAATATTAAGTAAGATGTCGAATATTACAACAAATGTAGATTAAAAACCATTTTAAAAGAACGCTTATCTCATTTTTTAAAATCATTTTATGGTCACGTTTAGTTTATTTAATAAGATTTCGCAAAACGACTCATTGATATAATGAGTCTTAAGCTTTTGTACGATACTATTAGATAGACGCCTTTTGCAAGACACATATTGCGAGATTGTTTCACTAATTATAGCACTAATTTAAATGCAGAAACAATGTGTGTTTGAAAAAGAAAAGCTTTCGAAACAATTGCACGAGATCGTGAGTTAGCCGAGACACGAACCCCATGATGGATTGAAATCGAGTTTCCAAGTGGTTGGCTGGAGTTGCAGTCGAACACGGCGCAATAGTTGCTTACGCATCCGGAGGATGGCAGTATACTCGATGTTGCAAATGTTATGTTTTTAATTTTATGTGTGTGTTTTTTTTTACATGACACACATATTCACCTTATCAAGAGACACGTGTAGCGTTTCGCGCTGATTGTGAGTATATTTTTCGTCAAGTACATACATTCTTTCGTGAGCAAGACGCTACAGGAGCGTTCTTTATAGAAAGGAGAAAGCGCTTCTTTAGAAATAAATCATTGTTCTTCTTAAATAATGTTATCAAAGCATGCAAGACATTGAAGAAGGATATAGATTTCTTCAATTTCTCCGATCACATAATATCTATATATATATTTGGCACTCGCACATTGACAATCTAATTCGATAGTTGTTCATTAATAGCTACACTGAGGAAAAACATCCAGTGATTTTGATTGGAAATAACCGTTTAAATCCTCTGATCATTTTTCAATCGGAAAACGATTCGGATACAAAATGATCATTGCCTTCATCCAATAAAATATAATTATCGATAAAATAAAGACGGAAAATGAGCCGTTATATGTTTATCCGTTAAAATTTCATAGGATGAACTAGATCGGACATTAGGTATACTTGAACGGTATATTTTATCCGATCAAGAGTAATATCCAACCTAGTTGTTGGTTTATCATATGAAATTTTAATGGATAAACATTTCGCGGCTCATTTTCCATCTACATTTTATTGGAAATTACATTCTTATGAAATTTTTAAGTGATTAAATCAAGAAAACCCTTCTCACAATCAGTGCTGCATACTGCTCGTGCAATTTGCTATTGGCAGCGATTGACGCTTATACGCTCTTCTCACTATGTTTCGTCTGCGCAGGCTGATAACTTATAATCTCGCTGAATAGAGTGTAGATAGAATACTTGCACTAACAATAAGAAAAGTGCGCGACGTTGAGCGCACGCATAATTCTGTAATTTCATAATGCGTACGTATAATTCTGTATGCCTATCCTTTCTATAATCTAATCATCTTTCAACGAGGTACAGCCGCATCTTGCATCTTCATTAATTAATTGTCTTCACAGCATTGAATGTCGATAAATATCTTAAAATTAACCAGTTGCAAATTTCCAATCAAAAAAATAGACGTAAATGCAATCGATCGGATTATTTGTTGCAAAAGAAATGAACGGATATTTCCGATTAATATATTTTTAATGAACTAGTGATCGGATTTTTTGTCCGACCAAGCTAATCATAAATATCTGTTTGTTACTTTTTAGAAGGATAATCCGATCTTTTTCAACGGAAAAAAACTTGACAATTTGCCGCACGTGTAGTCAATAGCGCGCTATTAACGTCATTTTGTCATTTTATTTTTCGCTAATTAAATGTGAAACAAGGTCAAAATAATGCAATAGCGCATGACACATAGCTGATAACACGCTTCCCGAACGTTCTAAACTGCGTATTTTGCAAAACTCATTCGGTCAAAGATAGCAAACAATTTAAAAAATATTAAACGCAAAAAAACCGCACATTTTTTCTCAAGCGAAGAATTATTGTTGGCGAGAATATTGTTACACTTCTAACGTTATTTCTAATTAAAAAAATCAATTGCATTTATTTCATATGACTTTAACGTGATGATATATAATTATAATAAGAACCAAATGAGACAACTGCTAGGACAAGACATGCGAAAAACGCGAGCGCTAAGAATTTCATGTAGAGCTAAGAAGTTATTAAAGTATTAAAGTTTAAAGAAAAAATAATGGAATGATTTGTATTAATTATAAATTTCAAATATAATTGTTTTGACGTATGTAGCTTCCACGATACGATTTTGTTAGCTAATATTTAAAATAAAATACACATAGCGCACGAATCTCTCAAATAATTAATCGCGCTCGAATGAATTCACGATTATGTCGGGCTATGACAACGCAAGGGTCTCTTCGATTTTCGCGCAACTTCCGTGAAAACGAAGTCGATTCGGTACGTACTATTTTCCTCGGAGAATCCATTTCCGAGCGACACGGCGGTCGTTCCTAACTCATTCGTCATCGATTTCGCGGCGATCGGCGGCCGAGGCGGAGGGTGAAGTTTCAGCCGCACAAATTAAAACCATTACTAATGGCATCGAGCCCCGAGCAGAAAACCCGCCCTTATCCCAGAGAAATAATTCGTCGGTGCACTCGCATCGACAGCGCGAGGCGGAGAATTGCACTCCTCTCCGGACGCTATGGAGAACTTTGAATGCGGTCAAATGCACCGACAGTGAAAAACGCCCGTGACCCGCCAGACGCGTGGAGAATAGCAGAAAGGAATTTATTATCATCAGACATGACGGCCGTCTCTCAACTTCTTCTTATATGTCGTCCCGTCGTAAGAATTTTACATTACACATTTGCAGCAAAACGTCAGGAAATAACGAGGAAAACGTCAATGCATTTCACATATAAAATTAAGATAATATTTTATAAATGTAATAGTTTTAGAATATGTGCTTCTCTCTCTCTCTCTCTCTCTCTCTCTCTCTATATATATATCTTTCTCTCTTTCTCTCTTCTGTGTTAGTAACATTACACTATAAATTAAATCGACTTACAAGCTGCTGTCGAAAACTTTCGAGTGGCAAGGGTTTGACAATGATTGA